CGGTCTCCTTGGAGACTCAGAAGCCATACCTGCTCTTTATGGGTTGGGTTGTGGTCTTCCACCTTTACTCTTTGGGGATTCTCTGCTTCTCACTGGCTTCCTTTGGAACCAGGTGGTCGCTGTCCCCAGTTGTCGTGGCTGCCGGAGCCCTTCCCTTCGTATTCCTGTGGGTGAAGAAGGCGCCATTCCGGGGTCAATGGGTTAACCAGGGACTTCGGAACCAGACGCACAAAGAGACGACGGCGTATATCCGGAACCTCCCCCAGCAGGCATGGCCGATGGGGATTGCCGGGCCTAACGGCTTGGAGCATGTGACGGTTGGATTTAACCCGTGGGATCTCGGCGCAATGGGAAACCTGCGCGCGGTGCTAGGCGACAGCATCTGGGAGTGGCCTTTCTTCTGGCGTACCCCTCGCAGGGTGCGTGAATTCGGTGCTCACCCCGATTGGGATCTCCCTTTCGGACCTCGGTGGGGCCAGTTCATGGAAGATCGTGCTCTGGTTGTACCAGTTGGGGGTCTACCGGATGGCATTAGCCTCGCTCCTCTCCCTCCCGCCCTCCGCAACGACATTTCGCGGCGCCGACGCATTTGGAGTTCGGAGGATTAGGCTGGCCGGGGGCCGGCGACTTGAGGTCGGTTACTCGCCTCGTCGCGCCCTGGCACACGGTTGGCGGTCGGTTACGCGCCCCTCCGTGACGGCTTGAGGTCGGATTTACTCGCCTCGCCCAGTCTACTCTCGACAATACATGCAGCCTGCCGTGCAAACAGGCACCAATATGTATTACGCCTTCTCAGGACTGATGATCCTGGCAGGCCTCGCCCATCCATTCGAAATTTCGTTTGGACTTGGAGGATGACAACCTCTTTAAAAAACACGGCCGACAATGTCGCACCTTCACGCTGGTGTCGGCTGTCAGTAGTCGGAATTGCGATCGGGCGATCGAAGACGACGAAGCCAACGCGACGGCGGGTCACTGTTCTGTCATTGGAACACAACCTGCCACCCCTGGGTCTCTCAAACTCTCGACAAGTCACACACTCACACTCACACTCACACTCACACTCACTCTCACTCTCACTCTCAACTTCAACAAACACACATTGTGACTTCGAACTCTTGCCTACCATCAAACATACGCCAGGCATTGTTCACCCCAGGGTTCCTTGCAGTCTCAACACTCTACACTCATCTCATCACTCCGGACCCATTGCACATCTATCATACCATCTGCAATGTGGCTTTGGCACAGGAAGTTTGCACAGCTACCTGCGAGACTGCAATCAACAGAGGCTCATCACCTCGGTAACCAACCTCGGCAATCATCCACACCTTGCCTTGAGGTTCGACCACCACCCTTCGCTCAACAACATTCTCTTTCAACACTGTCTCCACAGACTCTTGACACAACTCATTTCCGACACAATCACGGACATCGGATGATTCATCAGTCGATTGAGACATCAGTTGAGCGACACATCGCTTGAACAACACATCAGTTCAACGGCACATCAGCTGACTGACACATCAGTCAATCAACATGGAGAGCACCTTCGCTTCTCCATCATCAACATCTCTGGACTCCGCTTCAGATCGGCACATGGATGGTTTCTTCCTCATCCACGACTCACTTTGATCCATCTCTGGTCAAGTTTGGTTCTCCATGCACTCGAACCATCTCTCCACATGCTTTCCAAGCAGCAGCAACTCGACCATTTGTCCTCATCCCATTCGTACCAATCGATGACCTTTGGTTGATCCTCCAACATCCTTAAGACGTAACAATCTTGAGACGTAACACTCACACACCACGTCTCTTACCCGAACATTCTCGTTTCTGGGGCAGCAGAAACTCGGCAAACTATTTCGGCAGTTCTCACACTTTTGACTTCAAGCTCTTGGCTCTCTGTTCACTTCCGTGTTCCTGAAGCAGCAGGAACACGACACACTTCTCTCATCCACACTCTCGGCTTGCGACTTGGCACTCGCGAACTCAGCCTTCTTCTTTCATCTCGTTTCTGGGGCAGCAGAAACGCGTCACTCCATTTTGACGCACCACTCCATTTCGGGTCATCACTTCATTCCCTTCACTTCGGTTTCCTTTTCTCTCACCCGCACTCTCAGCTCGCGACTTGGCACTCGTGAACTCAACCTTCTTCTCTCATCTTGTTTCTGGGGCAGCAGAAACGCGTCACTCCACTTTGATGCAACACTCCATTCTGGGTCATCACTTCATTTCACTCAGTTCAGTTTCCTTTGGCAGAGGAATTTGACAACTCATTACCTTTCTTCAACTCTTTCAGCAAATCTTATCTTCACTTCGCGTTTCTGGGGCAGCAGAAACCCGACAACTCACTTTATTCAACATCTCTGAATTTCATTTCACTTTCCTCTGGCGGGAGGAATCAACGCTTCACACATCTTTTTCTCTGGCCATTCCTGGCTACTCTTCACGTTTCTGGAGCAGCAGAACCTGGGCACTTCACTCTGATTCGGCAATTTAGACCGGTTCGGCCTTCACTTCATGTTCCTGGTTATCGGAAGCTTGGCACAAACATATCCTTCAACTTCTTTGGCACTTTCTTGCCTTCACCTCACGTTTCTGGGGCAGCAGAAACTTGGCATCTCGCCTTATTCAACAACTTTGAACTTCACTTCACTTTCCTCTGGCGCGAGGAAACCAGTACTTCACACGGCACTTTCTCCATTTCCGGTACTTCACACTTTCACTCGGCATTTCTGGGGCAGCAGAAATGTTCTCTCCTCACTTCGCTCTCTTGGCAACTTGAGCTCGGAACCCAACACATCAATCATCTTGTTTGGACTTCTCACTTTTCCTTGCTTCCTATTCTTCTTCTGAGACAGCAGAAGCAGACATATGGCTCAACACATCTCATTTTTCACTCCCCGTTCCTCCGGCGACAGGAACCCAACAGACCACACTTTCTCTTCTTTTGCACTCTCCCCATGTGTCTGGGGCAGCAGAAACTCCTCAAGTCACATGACAACGGCCCCTCTGATTCATCTCACTTTCAATGTCACAGGAGCTTGGCACTCCTCGCATATTCAAACCCTTCAAGCAATCTTCTATCTTTCAACTTGCTTTTGAAGCAGCAGAAGCACCACACTTGACCACCCGCCGATCTCTATTCAAAACAGCCAGGCATCTCTCTCATTTCATTCTTGGATCAGCAAGGGTGATACACAACTCGCTCATCCATCTGTTTGGCACTCTTCTCTCGGCTTTTCATCGGCACTTTTGGAGCCGGCTTCATTTGCTGACTCTTGGCGGCTGTCTTCGGGGCCTGCGGCGGACATCCCCCGGCCACCAGGCGGCAAATCGTCAGTCATTCATCATTGTCCACCTTTCTTCTTGATGCGACCTCGCCACTTGGAACCTTCACATCAGAGACGCCTATCGACAAACGGGAAGGGGTCCGGTTGGCGCCGAGCTGAGAAGCGTTCTTCAAAGAACATTCCTTCAATGGGCACTTAAATGCTCAACCATTCTTCTCAGCAGATGGATCAATCGCACGCAACTGGGCGATCTGTTTGTCTTTTTCACACACCCGGGGCGTGAATGCTAGGGCGGTGGAAAGATGTGGCCTACCCGTGCTCACCCAAAGGCTTGTACTTTCGTCACGATCTAACGTTGCAGCTGCTGATCAGCACATGTACCAGAACAACAGATCACGCAGCGCTAGCGTCTTGCTAATTCAGTCACTTGGAGCTTGCAGGCTGCGAGCTCAGAGTTGCAGTCGAGCGTTGTAACGGGACGTTGCAAGCCACCACCAATCAACGCCATAGACACCGGTACTTGAACCAGGATCAAGTACGTCACATCTTGATCGACATTCCATGATGGAAATGTACTGATGTTCCGGCACAGGTAACGACGGTCTCATCGCTTTGCGAGCCAACCAGTATTTGGAGGTCTGCTCATGGTATGGTTTGGAATTACTGACCTGTGCTTCAGCTTCTTGAGTCGAAGTCTGGCCGCGCTTGTGGTTGTGTCGAAGCTCCTACTCGGACGACGCGTAAGGGTTCAACAGAGGCACGAAGATACGTTGCCGTGTCGCATATTGATTGGTTACCGAAAGGTATGTCTCGATTCAATCACTCTGTGCTCCAGCTTGACCACTGACCACAAGTCTTCGTCCAGTTCCCAGACAACTACCAAGTCCAGACAGAATGCCGACTTTGAGGGACAAAATAGGGCATTGGTGGAAAGGGATATCTTGATCGGCTTGGGAAAGCTAGAGGATCGTTTCAGTGCAGTGGGATCCGCTACACGGAGGATTATCTAGAAGGCAAGGGGAGATGGCCAAGGGATGGAGCGCGGAACACCAGGGCATACTTGAGGCGGAAGCCCTTCAGGACACGTGCATTTGGAGGCGATGAGCGATGCCATACATGTTAGAAGCAACGCGTTCAGACCTGTCGTTTGACAAGCAACCTCCGATAGGCGATTGTCAGCGGTCTCTTGAGCTCCTACCTATGATGACTTCGGTGTTTTCGCAGGACCAACGCAGGAATTTAGGTTTTGTTTCCACGCGCACATGTTTTCAAGTGTTGTAGTTCCTCTTTGTTGGAAGTCGATGCCAGGAGCATCTCGCCTACGGATCGCCGAGGTAAAAAAACGTTTAACAAAGAAGACGAACGTTGCAGAAATTCAACTCGGCTGGGATCACAGTTATACCAAGCTTGCAAATTGATCGACAGCATCAGGATGAACGGCTTCGCCACGTACGTCGTGGTGTCTCCTGGTGGTTGAGGCAAAGGAAGCGGCCCCGCTTTGGGGGGAAAAAACGGCAACGCATCGTTGCCCGTCCGGGCCCGGGCGGACAAAGAAGCTATTCAGGTTGTGGTGAGCTTCGCTGTGAATAGCTTCTTTGTTTGTTGTGAACACAGTCAAAATCAAAGGCTTGATCATTCTCGGGTATCGCGTCTGATTTAAACATCTCAAATCTGTAGATAAAGCTGCCCACCTCTGATTCTAAGATGATGGCCGCTCATGAGGGCGAAAAGTTTGTTCCGTGCCAAGTCAATTGTTCGTTTCTCTGCATAACACACTGAACAGATTTTCTCGAGTTAGGATGACCTGCCTTCAATCTCTACCCCCCGAGACTATCTTGCAAATCGCAGCTTGTTCAGACCTCAGTTTCTCATGCCTTCGCCATCTCCGACTCACCTGTCGCGGCCTTGCCGTATATATCGCACCGCTCTTGTACCGCAAAGCTGTTCGGGACCACGCTGTTCTCCTGCGACTGGTGCGGAACGACCAAAGCGATATCATTCTGCGGGTTTTGAAAAGCCAGATCAGGCCAGATTGTGTTGCACCTCAACACTACCTAGATAGCTGCCTCCACGACGCCCTTCTGGGAGGTCACCTCAAGGCTGCCGACGTCCTTTTCGGTAATGGAGCTGAACCTGTCTTTAGTATCGACGTTGCAAATCGCTCAGAGCATCGTGAGACCAGGGATTGGCTTCAAGTCCATGATGCAACGGGACTCGGGTCTCTCGCACTTGCAGCGAGAAGCCGCTATCACATGACGTTCTGGTATAAGGATTTTGAGCCTTACACATCCGAGGAAGAGTTCTGGATCTATAAGAAGAAGGCGATGAAGACTATCTTAGAGAAACTCAGATCCCATTTTGGTCGGGATTCAGATCAGTATGGATTGAAGATATCGGAGGCCCATTATTTGAGAGATGAACACGAGGATGGGAAGAAGGAACCGATGCTTCGACATCCGAAATACGCCAGAGAGCTTGACATGGCCCTCGCCGAGGCTGCAACTGCAGACGGGCACTCTATCGAACTGATGGACTTCCTATTCGGGTGTGGAGCAACTGTCACCTGCGAACTCACACCGCAACTTGCTGGGCATGCCTGGCACAATGCCCTGAACGAGGAAATTCCGGCTCTTTTCGAGGCCAAAGTGGATCTGCTCCTGCGTCATGGCGTCGACCCGACGAGTGTTTGGACCTGGGAGGGTATGCGGACACCGATACAGTTTTTCCTCCGCAAGTTATACCGAAATTTTCAATAAGTCAACATACCCACTTCCTGGCACCCCCCTGTTTCTGGCACCCACAAAAACGCGAAAATCCACCACAACCCAATGCCCACCCCCAACCTCCTTTTATCACAACATTTTCAATTCGCGTCCAAATGGGCTCATCTTTTGCACATGTCTTCTTCTATATATAATGCCTCAATATACCGAAGATCAGCTTCGTCAGGCTCTCGAGGA